GGCGCCGCACGCCGCCGCCGCCAGCGCTGCCGTCGCCCGGCGCGCGCGCGCCCACCACGCGTCGCGCCTGCCGCGCCGCCCGCACCCCTCCGTTACTCTCCCAAAAGACAATGCACAAACTCCCTGGCTGTTCGGAAGACGCCGCGTCCCGAGCGCAGTTGCCAACGTTTCGGTCGTCATGCTGCGACCTTGCAGCCTCTTGCATTTCGCCCCGAGGAAGGTCGCAGTACGCGGCCGAAACGTTGGCAACTGTGTCTAGGACGCAGCATCTCTTGAATAGCTAAGTATCTATTTACTCCGGCCGCGGAAGTCTACGTTTTCACTGTTGGTTATTCAAGAACAGACCAGGTTGTTGGGGGGGGGGGGCGTCGTTTCAAATTATCTCAAGACGCCTGGTGCTCAATAGAGCCTGATCGAGAAAAAAATTTTGGAAGTTTTTTACGGTTCTATATGTGTTTTGGGGTGTTAAATTCGATTGTTTTGATTGTCACCTCGAAAAAAGTCGGCTTCGTGGTGAAAATAGAAAAAAAAGCATTATTTTCCGTTTTTCATTTATATATCCCAAACAATGCATTGTATCGAAATACCCACTGTTTACAAAATTAATGTTGACAAAATGTCTTATTAATTGCATGAATTAACTCTGATCTTCTGAAATATGGCTTAGGCACCAGAACACGCTTACAACGGTGACTCTTTAGCCTTCTGGAGCGGGAGAATAGGTTTCTCCAGACACCTATTTTGTGACAGCGCTAGACTTCACTATTTCATGTCCGAAAGGAATATTGTGAAATGAAATATTGGCATTTGCAAATGATTATCACTCCGATGCCGACAGGGATGTGTTTATTCGCGCGAAGTATCTGCAAAGCCCAGCTTAATGTAAGTAAAATATGACAAACGTGTAAAGAGAGAGACAATACAATGCAAAATACAATATGTTGATCGAACACAATATGCTTGTCAATATCTTCCAAATTATGGGTAAAAGTAGGAGTAAAACTAAAGAGATAATTTTATAATATTTCCTAATATAATCCAAAATATTCTCAGTTTTTGCAATTTTACGCATTGAGGTGTATTTTAGAATCCTAGACCACATATTTCAAAATGCAGCATTTTTAACATCCCATATATCATTCTTAACATTTCAAGCAACGTTCTATATTCAATAAAATTCAATAGTTCAATCATGTAAGAAGCTTAAATCAATAATATCCTCTGCCTCCTATAAATCCTTCATACACTAATCTCAAATTCTTAGTTTTTAAATAATATCAGCAATAGGATATTCACGATCTTCCATTAATTCAGTTATTTTTTATCATTTTTAACATGATATGTACTTTGGTTCAGTTTTGTTACAAACAAAGGAAATTATAAATAATTATCCCTTTAGAAATGGGCATTGTATCGAAACTGAACTCCCATATGTTAAAATTCATTTTAAAAAATAACTGAACCAATGGAAGATCGTGAATATCCTATAGTTGATATAAGAAACGTGAAATTATATAATAAAAATATTGTCTAGAGATATTATTGAATAAGAATGTGGCCGAGAGATATTATTGAATTAAAATCTGGTTTAAGGATATGAATATAAAATCTGGTATAATGAATGTGGTTTAACCTATTGTCATTGGCATCGTATATTGTTAATATGGTCGTAGCAAGTGAATTAGCGATGCAAAAATTAGCAAATTATGAATATAATTATGAAAATCGTGACAACATTCTTAAATTTCAAGAATATTATCAATTACCATTAGATGTAGAATTAAATAGTGGTACATTAGATTTATTGAATCAACCGTGATGTGGTGTGCATGATACTCATTTTGAAACATCTTCGCAAAAATGGAATAAGAATATAATAAAATGGTATTACAGTAATATAAATCAGGCAATTTTAGAGTTAACTGAATCAGCATTTGAAATATGGTCATCTCATACAAATTTAAATTTTAAGAGAGATATTTTATACCCTGATTTAATTATATAGAATAAACGTGGTGAACACCAATGTCAAGATGATCAACATATGTGTTCCAATATATTTAATGGAAGAGGTGGTACATTTTGAGGTGGTACATTACTACATGCTTAATTTCCTAATGCAAAAAATTCTCCATTAGAAACCCATATTGATTTAGATGAAGATTGTTATTATAATAGAGATGCAAATACACCACAAGGAAAAATGAATTTATTTTCTGTTTTACTTCATGAAATTTCACATCATTAGGTATTAAATATACAAATTATAGAAATGAGATAATGTATTCTTATTATATGGATTATTAGATGTACGTAGGGCCGGTTTCATCAAACAAAGGGTAAGAGTTTACTCTGGAGTAAATCATGTTTACTCGAGAATAACTTCTTGGAGCATTTCACCAACACGTTACTCGAGTGTAAATCGCTTATACGAGTGTAAATTCGAGAGTAACTTTACACCGCGAAAATCCGCCGGGTACGGAGTAAATTCAGTTCTCAACGTGCATGTACCTCCGAAGTGTTGTTACGGCTCGACGATAACGACTGATAGTATTTGAAGACGATTCCAGCAATGATTCGGAATATCCACT